AAAAGGCCTGGGTTTGATTCTGAGCACCCACATGGCAGCTAGCAACCATCCATAATTCCAGTTCCAGGGGATCCAGTGCCCTCTTCTGACCTCTGCAGGCATTGTACAATACAGTGCACTTACATATATGCTGGCAATATACTCATATAACTGACTATTTTTATAAAAGGCCTGGGTTTGATTCTGAGCACCCACATGGCAGCTAGCAACCATCCATAATTCCAGTTCCAGGGGATCCAGTGCCCTCTTCTGACCTCTGCAGGCATTGTACAATACAGTGCACTTACATATATGCTGGCAATATACTCATATACATAAAATAAAAATATTAAAATATTGATAAAAAGAAAAGATTAATAATGAGGCAAAAACTTTGTATGAAGAGAAATGAAAAGTACTGTTGGAAATGTCTTTCTCCTTTTCTTGGCTAGTCTGTCTATAAAAATAGGGTTTTATGGTATCAGAATATCTTGGGATACAAGAATTTATGTAGTGTTACTTTTCTGTTGCTGTGATAAAATACCTGGACAGAAAGCAGGTTAGAGGAAATCAGGGTTTATTTTTGGCTTATACTTCCAGAGGGGATACAGTCCATCATGGCGAGGAAGACACTGTAGCAGGAGTATGAGGCTGGCTAGCCTGGTAGTAAGGAAGCAGAGAGCTCATATTTCATCTGCACATAAGAAGCAGAGAGGGAATAGGAAGTAGGGCCAGGTTGTAAAGAATCAAAGCTCACCCCACAGTGGTATGCTTCCTCCTTTAGGCTCCACTTCCTAAAGTTTCCATAACCTCTCTACACAGTGCCACCAACTAGGACCAAGTGTTGAACTACAGGAGCCTATGGGGGCATTTCTCTTTCAAACCACAACATACGGATTATTTTTTATTCCACTTTGAGCTCACTAAATAGAATATTTTGAGTATGTTCTATGTTATAGTCAAGTTTGTGTCTTCATGAATATATAATTATATCATTATCATTAGTATAAATATACAAATACAGGACCCTATCACCATAGTGCTAATATATTCTTAGACTGAAATGCATATTTCTTTTATACAAATTATTTTCTTTGGGCTGGAGTGATGGCTCAGTGGTTAAGAGCACTGATTGTTCTTGAAGAAGACCCAGGTAATTTTGAATGTTACTTTTTTAGGGGCATACAAATGACATAGAGCCATTTATTTATTTATTTTAAATATTTTATTTATTATTTTTATTTTATGTTTATGAGTGTATTGCTTGCATGTATGTGAGTGCACCCATGTTGTGCAGCGTGGCGGAGGTCATAAGAAGGCTTCGGATTCCTCTGGAATTGGAGTTAAGGACAGTTCGTAGCTGCCATGTGGGTGCTGGGAATCGAACCCGGGTCCTCTGCCAAGAGCAGTCAGTGCTCTCAACCGCTGAGTCATCTCTCCAGTCCCCAGACATTTATTTTTAAAGAGCTGATATTTTGTCATAGTGTAACTTTATTTGGTTTTGTTCTCATAGATATTTTCTCCCAGATGTCGGATTCCAACGGCTTAATGATATTTAGCAAGTTTGACCAGTTTCTGAAGGAAGTTCTGAAGCTTCCAACGGCTGTTTTTGAAGGACCATCTTTTGGCTATACAGAGCAGTCAGTCCGCACCTGTTTTCCACAGCAGGTAAGGACAGTTGATAGAATCTAGGGTCCCCACCTTCTATGCGATTTCTACAGATCGTTTCCAGTAAACAGCTTTAAAAGAGGGGCGGATGAATAAAGGCAGGGAGGGGTAAAAAATTCACCTAGAACTCTTGTGGGGAAGGAGTCTTTTCTGTAAAGAAAGGTAATGTTGTGCCCAGTTTGCGAGACCCCAAAGACCACCAAGGAGCTGACTGATGCAAACACACAAGGGTTTTTTATTGTTACAAGCTTAAGCTTGGGCCCACTCTGTCACTGACTCAGCGGATCTCAGATGTGAGACCCCTTGCTTTGGGAGACAGAGGTTTTTATAGGATTATTTCAGCAAGTTCAGCAAGTAGGGGAGTAGGGGGTCTCCAGCCTGGCATGCATCTGAATGGTTGCAGCCCAGTGCCAAACCATAAACTGCTAGCTTCAGGAAATCTGAAAAGACATTTGGACTTTTGGTAATTTCCTGTCCCTGGTTAATTGACCATTGGCGGGGGAGTTGTTCTCTGTCCGTTCCAAGTATTGTGGTTTTTGGGGCTGGGTCAGTCCTATGGAGGTTTTATCTAAGATGGAGTCACTCAGGTCTCTCAGTAACATTTGAAGTATTTTAAAGGAAAATGTTTTGTGTATTTACATTATTGACATTGAACATGAGTTTTTTCGAGTGAGTGAAAAATTCCCGTGAAGTACAGGAATTTTGATTTAAAACTATAGTGATGTTGTTGGATCATTTTTTTCCCGAGCACTGAAGACCAGGAATGCTGTACAGTGCTCAACTGCTAGCATAAAGCCCTGTGGGCACACTGCTGCTTTCATGTGACAAGAGATGGGTTTGATTTCTCCTCCTGTGTTTTGCCAAGAGCCTGGTATAAATATGTTGTTGAGATCTTTTTTTTTTTTCCGTATTTTATTATTTTTATTTTCTGTGTATGAGTATATTGCCTGCATGTATGTGAGTGCACCTGTGTTGTGCAATGCCATGGAAGTCAGAAGAAAGCTTCGGATTCACCTGGAACTGGAGTTAAGGACGGTTCATAGCCGCCATGTGGGTGCTATGAATTGAACCCAGGTCCTCTGCAAGAGTACTGCTCTTAACCGCTGAGCCATCTCTCCAGTCCCTGTTCTTGAGATCTTAAATCTGCCTCCAAAACTGGGGATAGAGTAGACACTAGTGTAACAGCCATTATTGAAGGTATAGCATAGATAAAAGAACGTTAAGAGTGTATTTAGAAAGTTATGGAAAATAGAAAATTCAGGAAAAAGAAACTGTTAAAATCAATAGTAAAAAAATAACAGTGAATGGCCAGGCCTCATGGTGCATGCCTTAATCTCAGCACGCCAGAAACAGAGGCAGAGGCAGGCGGATCTCTGTGAGATTGAGGTCAGCCTGGTCTATATAGTGAGTTCCAGGCCAGCTGGGGCTACAGGGAGCCCCTGTCCCCCCCCAAAATACCATACACACAGACACAGACGCACGCACACATACACACACACAAAATGGAAATGGGATATTGACTTAAATTGTCTTCTCAGAAGATACTTCTTAATTACCAAAGGCAACTGTAACTTTACAGTGGGAACATTCTCCTCGACATGACTTCAGCCAGGTGTTGGAAGTCATAATCCTAGGAAAAGGGGACCTGACAACTGGATGATCTGCAATGTGCAGCACCCTCTCAGCTCCTGCTGAGAAATACAGCCTGAGTTGAATAGCTAGGAAACATGCAGGCCTGTCCAACCTATGGCACCTCAGTGTAGCTATGAATCTTGTCAAACACACTTAACTGGCCTGTACACCCCAAAAATGTTAGCATCGGGGCTAGGGAGATGGCTCAGCAGTTAAGAGTACTTACTGCTCTTGCAAAGGACCCAGGTTCAGTTCCTAGCATTCACATGGCAGCTTGCAACTGTCTATAACTTGGAGATCTCATGCCCTCTTCTCACTTCAACAGGCACAAAGCATGCACATGGTCAGCATGTACATACATACCAAAAAAATCCTCAGATAGATGATATAAAATAAGTCTTTTCTTAAAAAAGAAAGAAAAAAATGTCAGTTATCATAAAAGAGTAAAAGACAGAGGAAGCATTTTAGATTAAAGGAGTCTAAAGGGAGGTAAAAACTGAGTGTAGCTGGTGGCACATGCCTTTAATCCCAGCACATTTATTATTTTTATTTTATGTGTATGTGTGTATTGCCTGTAGGTTGGTAAATGCTCCCATATTGTGCAATGCCCGTGGAGGTCAGAAGAGGCTGTTGGATCCCCTGGGACTGGAGTTTTGGACAGTTGTTAGATACCATTTGGGTGCTGGGATTTGAACCCAGGTCTTCTGCAAGAACAACCAGTGTTCTTAACCTCTGAGCCATCTCTCCAGTCCCCAATCCTGAAATTAAAATGGGTAAGAAAACTTTGATTCCCAAAGCAACGGGCACATATATGTATGACACACATGCGCCTCTTTTTTTTTCTTTTTTTATCTTTTTGAGACAGGGTCTCTGTAGTCCCAGCTGTCCTGGAACTCACTATGTAGACTAGGCTGGCCTTGAACTCACAGAGATCCGCCTGCCTCTGCCCCTCGAGTGCTGGGATTAAAGGCGTGCGCCACCACGCCAGGCATAGATGTGTGTCTTTCTATTTTTAAAGATTAATATTTATCTGAATTAAGACTTTTTCTTTATTTTTTGGTCTTTTTGAGACAGGGCTGAATTAAGACTTTTTTGGTTTTTTTTGTATTTTTGAGACAGGGTCTCCCTGTAGTCCCAGCTGACCTGAACTCACTATGTAGACCAGTCTGTCCTTGCCTCTGTCTCCCAAGTGCTGGGACCACAGGTGTGTGCCACCACGCCCAGCTGAATTAAGAATTTTAAGAACATTTTGTAATTTACTTAGAGGTCACTCAGCCTTCACCTAGAAGATGGCTGTGCTACTTCTGTTTCTGTTGCTTTGATAAATACCATGACCAAAAGCAAATCAGAGAAGAAAGCACTTATTCCTGTAGGAACTCAGTGTAGGAACCTGGAAGCAGGAACTGAAACAGAGACCATGGAGGAAGGCTACTTCCCAGTTTGCTTCCTCTGACTTGCTCTGCTACCTTTCTTATGTAGTCTAGTCCCACTTGCCCATCAGTGGCACTCCCTACAGTGGGTTTGACCTACCTCAATTAGCAATCAAGAAAATGGCCCACAGACATGCCCATAGGCCAGTCTGATGAAGGAAATGTCTCAATTGTGGTTCCCGCTTCCCAGGTGACTAGTTTCTGTCAGGTTGACAAAAGCTAACCAGCACTGGGGCTGGAGAGATGACTCAGTGGTTAAGAGCACTGGCTGCTCTTGCAGATGACCTGCATTCGATTCTTAGCACATAGATACTGGCTAACAACCACCCACAACTCCAGTTCCAGGGGAATTCAAAGCCCTCTTCTGACTTTAGTGGGCATTGCATGACATTGGTGTACTTATATACATGCAGGCACAGTACTCATACACATTTAAAACAAAACAAAAACTAACCAGCACAGTGGCCTCCATAACAATGGGAAATTCTTTTTTAGTAAATTCTGAAGGTATGGTCTTCCCACATATCTGCACATAAAATGATTAGTTTTGTGCAAAGTTTCCTCTGTTCACTATTAGAGGACTTTTTCTCAGTTCCTAACTGTGCTGGATAGCTTTAGTGTCAATTTGACACACCTGGGTTGAGGGAGCCTCAATTGGGGAATTGCCTCTATTGGACTGGCCTGTGGCCCTGTCTGAGGGGCATCTTCTTGATGAGTGATGTGGGAGGGCCCAGCCCACTGTGGGTGGTGCCACCCCTGGGCAGGTGGGCCTGTGTTGCATAAGAAAGCAGGCTGAGCAGGGGCCAGGGGAGCAAGCCAGTAAGCAGCATTCCTCCATGGCCTGTGCTCCAGCTCCTGCCTCCAGGTTCCTGCCCTGAGTTCCTACCTTGGGCTCCCTGATGAACCGTGTGGCCTGGGATATGTAAGCTGAACAAACCTTTTCCTCCCCAAGCTGGTAGTGGTCAGAGTATATTGTCACAGCAATGAAGAAACAAACTAGGACACCAACATAAGTGGCAATTAGTATGAGCTTTTATTATATTTAAGTATCTTCATGCTTCAGTTTATTCTGATGAAATATTTGCTTTGTCCTTCTGAATGTGTATCTGCAAATGAAGTGAGGCTCTCCAGACTTAACACTGCTGTAAGACTGTCCTGTAGATTCTAAATGCCCTTCTTGGGTTTAAGTGACAACAAACAGGGTCCAGAACCGTGGGTAGCTTTCAGGTTTTTGTTGAAACTTATCTTGCTGCTACTGGTACAATAGCACCAGGGCCCACACAGTGCCTTCGGGCTATCTTATAGATGATATATACGGCTTTTACACCTTGTGGTGCTTCCTGGAGGCCAGGTTGGACAGGGATCTAGTTCTGGCGAATTCCTAGAGCTTCCTGGAGGCCAGGTTGGACAGGGATCTAGTTCCGGCGAATTACTCTTTAGTGAAATGGTGGCAGGAAGAGACAAGAATTTATAACAAAGTATTTGTGAAGACTGTTACCTCATAGCAGATGACATTTATGGGGGTACAAAGTCTAAGGTGA